ACCGGAGAGGAAGTACTAAAACCACCAGATATCATCTCACCGGAGAGGGAAGTACAAAACCACCTGATATCATCTACCACCACCGAGAGGGAAGTTCTAATCCACATGAGATCATCTAATACACCATGTGTCAGCTATTCATAGATAACCTCATTGTAACGCCATGTTTAACTTCTGTATTGAAACTTGTGTTAAATAGTTCACCCCCTATTGTCCCTATATACCCAATAGTGCTAAAATATTATTATTATCATTATTATTATTACACAAACTCAATCCCAGATCCTCCTGCACACATACATTGTATCTCACACCTTGGTAAAACAGTCCTCAATCGTGACCAAAATACTAAATTCCTCGGAGTTATTGTGAATGATAAACTTAACTGGAGACACCATACAAGCTTATCCACAGTAAAGTCAGTAAATCAGTGCTGTATTCTGTATCACACTCGACAGTCACTCACCATCAAATGAAAGAAATCTACGTGACCAACACTTTGATACACTGTCACACACTATGGGGGCCTCTGGAGTAACTAAAACACAACCCTTGGCCACTGCCCAGAAGAGTCGATGACAATGACCTACTTAAATAAAAAATGGTCACAATTAACGAGCAACTTGTTGAATTTGTTAAAAAATTCTAGGATATTAACACTTGTTTATAAACTGTTAATCACTTGAGGAGAAAAATAAATTTGGAATAAATCAGAGGTACAACTTAAGACACTCAGACCCACGAAGACCATCCCACATGTGCTCCTCTCAGTCCCAGACCTCCATAAAATATCATGGTGTGAAGGTGTGAACAACTTACTTCCCACCCATTCGAGCAAAGACTATGTTCTTAATTTAAATCATCTCTAAAATAATACCTATCACCAAATTTAATATTTTTGTACCACTTATTTTATACCATTAAAACTTATCAATAATATAATGTCATGTAGATAAAATTACCATTGCAATAATTATATATTTGCTGTCAAGACGTGATCCTGATTGTCTCTGTCCCCTTGTTTCATCTAATACAATCCATGTTGTATTGCTTCTACTTATAAGAATACTGTATATTAACCCATTGTCAATATGTATATACTTATAATATGAATGTAGAAAATAAATAAATAAATAAATAAATAAACAAGGAAAGTTATGGAAACATTCTCATATGTATTTACTAACATCATGTTACTTGTACTTTTCCAGATGATACTAAATATTATATAATAATTCCTTGAGATAAATGTATATATATCAGGTGCTTAAGGGAGCTGAGGCTCAATTGGCTCAGCCATATTAATATTGTTATTATTATTCACTTCTATATCTGTATTTTTCTGGCTCAATAAACTGTTTAAATATCAATCCCACCAAGGAACATGTGCAGGAGAGATATGTTGTATTCCAATTCTAAGAAGGAGTTGAAGACTCAAGTGATTTACAACAGTTTGTTAGCTTTATGAACTGACGAATCATACAGACTCAAGTTTGTGGTTTTCCACAACCTGAAGGGAAAAACTTTGTTACAGCTATGCGTACACGGATATTTGGACACGGAAGCATTTCCTGGAGTGAAGAATAATCTGTTGTTTATAATATTATTATTAAATACTGTAGTTTAACCTGACAAATGAGTCTCATTGTGAACTGGTACTTAAGCTTGTCATTCTAAATAAGCCTTCAAGATGGTGTGGCTGGCGGCAGTGTAGGGTTGAGAGAACCTATTGATAAGTCCAAGGCAGCTATCGAACGTACAGAGAAGTGAAGGAAGGATCTCTATCATATGTGATGTCCTGCCCAGAAGGAGAGTTGGCAATGAAATAGCTTGTCAAGGATATTTAAAATAAACTGCCGTCTTGATAGATATTGAAAGTCAGTATCAGTCTCAATTCATTGTCAACTGAGCATAACTTTACGGCAGAATGACCCATAGCAAGAGGGATGAGGAGGCAAACCCTGTGGTCCTCTGGAGAGGCAGCTTGAAAGATGCAGGGAACACAGATTACCGGTACGTGGATCGAGGAGACTGCAGTGGGCGCAGGCAGACAAACCGAGAGCTCACAGAGAAATTGAAGGAAATGAAGACAAAGCTAAATTAGGCACGGACAAATTCCTAAACGTGAAAAGTTAGAGGACTCGGATAGCGACTAAACTTAATGTAACAATCACCGAAACATGGATAAACTTAAACTCACGTGATTCACCTGCCGAATAACAAATTAAGGGCTATAAATTATATCACACCGATAGGCAGTTCAGGTAAGGAGGCGGAGTAGCCATCTACGTATGAATAATTTGAACCCAGAAACCAATAAGGAAATAAAAAAAACTGAAGCGAGCACAGAAACAAATCATGATAGAATTAACCTTGGTAGGAAAAATTAATCATAGTAGTAAATATAGAACCCGTAACCTCAATAGGTTAATAAGCGACTTATTTGGGATAAATTACACTGCAGACCGTTACCCAGTCAACATACCGCCGAACCCACCCGGGGCAATAAGATAGTAGATTTAATTTGTCAAACAGAGAAACCTCATAGTAACGTCGAGGTAGGTAAATGAAAGAGACCATAAAGAAGTGAGATTCAAATTAGAACTTAATTTCAGCCGCAAGAAAATTCTATGAAAGTCCTAGATTTTAGAAGGAAAAACTTTGATAGGTTGAAAAGGCATGAGAGAAGGAGTATTATAGTTGGGGTGAATTACACGACCTCACGAGAATTCACCATACAATGTACCAAGAGAGAACATATGACTTCACTGTACCCAGACATGTTCACTATAACATTAGTACTACATGTCCACTACAGCACTAGTACTACATGT